TGTGAAAGGGTGAATGTGCCATGTGTAAAAGCGCTTTGAGTGGTCGGAAGACTAGAAAGGCGCTATAGTACAAGTCCATTTGCCATTTACCATTTATGCTACATACAAAACAAAGAGAACAATTATTTATGGTGGAGTGCGGAGGATGAATTGAGGAGTCTATACAACCTGAGGAAAGAAGCTCCTCTGTAGTCTGGTGATATGACAGCATATTCTTTATCGCTTGCCAGATGGCAGCAGGCTAAATTCTTGTTATTGATGAATAATTATTTAGTAATCAGGCTTGTTAGCATGCTACTTGAGTGTTAAATCACCATATTATAGTAAGATTTTAAAGACACTACCTGCATAAATGGTCCTGCTCACAATCAGTAAAGATCTATTGACGTATGTCTTGCATCACATGTTGCTGATAAACTGTGCTTTCCAGAATCTTTCCAGAAAACCACTTTTTGGGGCTTTCTGGTGTATGGCCTCACATAGACTCCTACAATCCTCCATTTATTACACCTCTACCTGAACTCCATCCATGGACTCAACACAAACGTTGTCTTATCCACATGCTCTCTCGCTGCTATGTTCTGCAGCCGTGTAAGAGAGATAAGTGTCTGCACAGAACAAAGGACCACGTTTTCTTGCCTTGCCACTGGCCACGATTTATGTGGCCACTGCTTTCCATTGTCTGCCTTTGCCTCTGATACAGACACATACACCAGACACACCCACATACATACGTATATCGTCTCACCACTAGTTAAGACTCATAATTAGGGCCTTAGCACCAAGGTTGCCAGGGCTTAATGGTCCCTGACTCCGACCTTGGTGTGAGGACCCTTTGTAATAACTATTTAGGACCCAAGCACCAAGCTGTGCTTTGTTCTTGCCAGAATATTGTCTGAAGTCATTCTCTGCCAACAAAATCCAAGTATTTACGGTCAAGATGGCTGCTGCTATGCACACATAGCCTTGCAGGTGCTGCATGTTTTTTTTTACTAAACTTTTATTACAAAGCTGGATCACAATACTGTATGTCACTGCTTTTTTTGCCACCAGTACAATGTTACTTTCTGTTGTCCAAGCTCCTAAACAATTATTATTTTATTCTTGCCTCTGGTCTTTTGAGGCTACTGTTAGTGAAGAACTGTATGTTGTATAACTGTATACTGTATAAGTAGCACTGTATAACTGTATACTGTATAACTGTATGAAGAACTTCCTCTTTTACAATGAATTTCTCCCTCTGATTATTGTTATGGGTGCAAAAACTTTCTCTGTAATTTCCAAACCTGATGTTTATCTCTGGTATTTAAAGCACCACAACTGACACTTTTTTCTTCTGATGAATTG